CACCGAGAAGGCCCGCTCTCTCGTCCCCGCCAGGCGTGCCTGTGAGGCAGACGGGACCGAGAGAAGGGCCTCCCCGGATGATCTCAAGGTCCTCGTGGGCTCGTAGGCCAAGATGCGGTCTGCAAGGTATTTTGGGCCGGAACCGTTTAGGGCTTTGTAGGATAGTACCAGCACCTTAAATTGGGCCCGGTAGCAGATCGGCAGCCAGTGGAGCTGGGACAGTAGGGGCGTTGTGTGCTCCCTACGCCCTGCTCCTGTTAACAACATGGCTGCCGCGCGCTGGACTAGCTGGAGCTTCCGGGCCGTTTTTAAGGGCAGCCCCACGTAGAGAGCGTTGCAGTAGTCGAGGCGGGATGTGACCAAAGCGTGTACCACCGTGGCCAAGTCAGACTTCCCAAGGTACGGGCGCAGCTGGCGCACGAGCCTAAGCTGTGCAAATGCTCCCCTGGTCACCGCTGAAACCTGGGGATCCAGGCTCAGCGATGAATCCAGGGTCACACCCAAGCTGCGAACCTGCGCCTTCAAGGGGAGTGCGACCCCGTCCAGCACAGGCTGTAACCCTATACCCTGTTCGGCCTTGCGACTGACCAGGAGTACCTCTGTCTTGTCTGGATTTAATTTCAGTTTGTTCGCCCTCATCCAGACCATTACAGCGGCCAGGCACCGGTTCAGGACTTCGACGGCCTCCTTAGTAGCAGGTGGAAAGGAGTGACAGAGTTGGACATCATCTGCGTACAGGTGACACCGCACCCCGAAACTCCGGATGATCTCACCCAGCGGCTTCATGTAGATGTTAAACAGCATGGGGGACAGTATGGAGCCCTGGAACCCCACAGGTCAAAGGCTGTGGTGTTGAACAGGAGTCCCCCAATAACACCTTCTGGGTACGGCCCTCCAGAAATGACCGGAGCCACTGTAAGACAGTGCCCCCAAGACCCATCTCTGCAAGGCGCCCCAGAAGGATACCGTGGTCGACGGTATCGAAGGCCGCTGAGAGGTCCAGGAGCACCAACAGGGACACACTCCCCCTGTCTAGCTCCGGCGCAGATCATCCACTAAGGCGACCAAGACCGTCTCGGTACCATGCCCCGGTCTGAAACCAGACTGTGCCGGATCCAGATAATCCGTGTCTCTCAAGAATACCTGGAGTTGTGAGGCCACCACGCTTTCCATGACTTTGCCCAAGTAGGGGAGATTGGAAACAGTTTGCTGATTGTTCCTTAATGTATCTGAATAGTATGCTTTCTAATAATCCATTCTCTCATTTCCTGTGGCTTCCAATGCTTCTCCACTTCCAATGTCTCCTTCCTCTGCCACTCAAGTTCTCCCATCCTTTTGGATATTTTGTAATCCCAGTCCTTTCCAAGCAAATTTCTGCTCCGCTGCCAAGTCTTATGATTTACTGTCTATTTCTTCTAGTTTTTTGTCAACACATCAAAAAACTCTGGAGCAGCCAGGTGATACAGTGAAAAACAAGCCAAAACTTCCCCACTTTTCTGACTGCAGTCAAAATGCTCTCATGAAGGAACAGAAACACGATAATGACAGATTTTGAAAATCATTGTTCTGCACTTCTGCTTTCTTTTGTTGGACACAAAAATCTTTGACTAGGTCAAAGTAGGATTTCAACACATACACACAAACTTAGAATTTGGAGGCAGGACAGGTCATGTTTCTGAATACCCCGGGTCTCTGAAGAGACTGTTCATGGTCCAAAGTAAATGTCAACCTACAAGGAAGAGAACTGTCCTTGGCTGTAAGAGAGCTGGGCATTCAGAATTCTGTTTTTGCCAGCATTGGACAGTAGAAAAGATACAGAATACAGAAGAAGACTTTGCATTAACTTCAGCCTTTGGTCTTCCTGATTCTTTGGACTTTAACTCTCAAAAGCCCAAGCCAACAAGGCAAATAGTCAGGATTTCTGAGAGTTAAAGTCCCAGACATCTGGATGACCAAAGGCTGAGAATGACCTGCATTATTTGCTTCTCAAACCAAGTGTAGCTCTGTGTGCAGTGCATTTCTATCCCCTTGATCCTTTAACTTTTTTTTTGCAGTTCCAAGTAGACAGCAAAAGGAAGAAGTTCATCAAAGTGTAAGAGAATCACTTTGCAAATGGCCTTCAGTCATTTTGCTGGGACACACAAATTGTACTGGATTTGGCTAGAATATTATGGAATTAAAATCAGATAATTTAAATGGTACCTGATATAATTATGGCAGAATTAGTCTTTTCCTAATTTATTGGGAAAAGAAAATCCTTTACAAAACAAGTCACCTAAAGCAAGTCAGGTCAGGAGAAAAATCTCATAAGATATTGTTTTTTTAAAAAAAAAATTCAGGTCTATCATATTTTTAGCTCACTGTCATATATTTGGCCAATGGCAAAATTAGTCCATTCTCATTCCTTAGTTAATGAAAAATTATGTTAATGATATGATGAGAAGAGTTAGGATGAGCAGATGCATGAGAAGACTGAATGCCTGAATTTTTCATAGCTCTCGCCTCTGCATGATAAATTGCCCCTTTCCAAATCTAGGCAAGGGTGAAGCGTATGACAAAATATTCTTCTATAGCATTTTGTTAGTCTGCAGAGTGTATGAATGGATCAAGTCCTTCACCGTCGTAACTTAACACTGCAAGTTCCTGAACAAGTGCTTGCTTAGAGTAATGTAATAACAATACTTAACAACTGTATAGCACTTCAAGTGTTTGAAGTGTTTCATCTTTGTCATCTGGTTTTTAACCTTTAACACAACCCAGTAGAGTAAATTAGAATAACTATTCACCTTCCTCAAATGCACATTACAGGAAGAATAATTAGAACAGTTACTAAGGTCGTTTCTGGTTACTTCTCTACAAGGGTGAGAATGTGACAGATGAAGTAGGCCACCTGTCTCTATGTCACCATTTTTTTTGTTTCAAGATTAAAACAACAGGCAGACATTTTCCAGACTGACCACAATTAGAGCTCACAGATCCCAAAAATGTCTTCATTGTTATCGCCTGTTGAATCTAATAGTAAGCCCATGCCCCTACTCAAATGATCTCCTCCTGTCACTTACAGACCTCACAGCATGAGAACACTACACACCTACTTATGATAATATAGAGGGAACAAAATTAGCCACACAATAGAAAGTTACATGTCTGCACATTACCTTAAAATATCACTTATATTAAAGAATGTTGGAAAAGACGATGGCTCTCAAACAAGTGTGAGCACACACTTAGGTACAGGCCAAGCTCAGGTTTGATGATCAGTCTTCTTTGGGCTTGATCCGAAGCCAGGCACAAATTATGTTTTTCCACTTCAAATAACTATACAATGAAGACAATCGATGTCAAATTTCCCAAAATGACCATAGCCACAAAATATATACATCAAGATCCCGAGGCACCACATCATTCTGGGAAGTGGACAAGAGAATGGTGTTTTCACTCTTATTACTTTTTTGGGACACCTCTGTCTAAATCTTTTGATGTCTACTATTGTACAATTTCATAGTGCAAAACGCAAAATGAATTTGGAGAAAAACATCTATGTAATGAATGCAGAGGCTTCTGACAGACACCGCAACCTTATTAGCTGGTGTAACTATGCAGGTGTATGTGGTAGCACTGGCAGTGAAAGCTGTCCCTGTTAGTAGAGAAAACTGACAGCATAACAGGTCATTATTCTGGCATCAGTCAGCAAAAGAATTCCTTCCAGAGGTTGCAGCTTGTAAATGTATTAACTCTGAAATGCATATTTGTCTATTTCCAGGGAGGAGAATGGTGTTTGGAAGAAATTACTGCCTACATACAAGCATGGTTTATTCCTTGTTTATGGTTACACACTGATGCTATGATTGCAGGAGTAGCTATGTTAACCATTCGACAAAATCCAAAATACCAGTTGTGGTACCTTTAGTAGGCCTCCCCAATACACACACCTGAAAACATTGTATTAGCATTTGAAGTTCACTGGGTTCTTCATCAGGCAAAGATAGTAAAAAAAAAATCATACAGGGGAAACAAAAGCATCACTGTTAGACACACAAAACCTGCAGGTCTATATCTCTGGTTTCATGCATTTCAGCAAAAAGTGTTTTCATGAAGGCATCGCATCAGCCTCCTGCTTCTAAAGTTGACTTACAAACTTGAAGCCATAATCCTAAGGCAATGATGAATTTACACCAGCTAACCCAGAAGTATTACAAATGGGAATTCCCCCAGTAATTGCTCCCATCTCTGTCCAGGCACGAGGAGGATTCATGGCAGACAGTAGTCCTTTCCTAGAGGGTCATATGTGACATGCTGCCAACTCCTCTTCATCTGCACACATAGCAGGTTGGGTTCACCGAGCTGTCAATCAGCTGTCTGTATTGCCTGATGCAGTGCCTAACTCTACAAAAATTGAAGGAAACTACACAACTGGCAGAGCCAGTCATCTCGAGATGGAGAGAGAAACTGATGTGAAACATATCACATGTTTGATTGATGCAGGCTACCAGCCTTGTGGCTTCTTAAAACCTATTCCAGGTCAAAGTCTTCTTCATAATGCTTATAACAATTATTCCAAGACACTATGCTATGGGCTGAAGTTTCTCTGGAAAGGCAGAGTGGCCATTCTGATAAAGCTGCAGTGTTATCCCAAAACATTTTCCTCTGAAACTAAGAAGCAAATGGTATTCCTTTTCCCCTAGTCTCAAAGTCAGGATGCCCAATATCCAAAGCTAGCCAAGTGACATTGTCACATTAAATAGGGACGAACACCTTTCCATCAGCCCAGCAGTAAAAACCAACCAACCCAAACAAACTATGGTAATAATTTTCAGCCCTTTCAAAACACATCGAATCTACCAAAGCAGTTGGTCCACTCTGCCTAATGGTAGGGCTGGTCCTGTGAACCTGAACTTCCTGGACATAGGGCTGTTACCCAGGAACCAATTGCCAGAAAGAGTAATCCAAATTAGTGTAACAACAAAATAATGCTCTTTGAACCCAGAGTCTGGCCTTACCTTTGAAAGTGAGCTGCACCCTCGGAGTAGCAAACAGGTAATCCTTGGAGTAGGATGGCCACCAGCCCACGATCAGCAGGATGGCCCAAAGCAAAAAGCCAACCAAGGGCATGGTGGGGAGAGCTGCAGATTCCAATTCCAGGCAGAACTATTAAGCAATCTACAGGGAGGAAAAAAGATGGATTGTTATACTGAACAGATGATGAGACGACTTCTGAACAATTGAGTCTCTCTCCCTCTTGAAGGCCATCTGACTCATCTGACCAACGCCTAATCTTTGGGAGGAGAGAAATACTGGTTTAACAGTTTACCAGCCTCTTCTTCAGAAGTGTGACCCTGTTTCCCAACCCACAGTCCTTGTCAGTTATCTAAATTTCAGTTACACTAATAGACCAGGTGAAGGAATCCCTAGAGTTTATTTCAAGCAGTCCCACCTGGAGTAGACATAATGAATCGAATAAACTCAGAGAAGTGTTGATTTACCAAGTTCCGATTGGGGCTACCACATTTATATCAACCACTGAATTAAAGTCCTGTTTTTTGAGTGGAAAAGAGATGTTTGCTTCATTCACAGCATTTCTTCCATTTTTGTCTCTCTCTCTCCCCCCCCCCCCCCCCCCCCGCCCAAGCCTGTTTTAGAATTGGGGAAGTAGTTTTTGACAACTAGAAGTAGCTGAAGGGTCACATCCAGTTCAGGTGATTGAGCAGGGAGAAAACTTTCATGGGTCTTAGTCAGGTCAGAGCAAGTTAGAAAAATGTGGAAAAATGGCCAAATATGATATTATTGTCTGGATATGACTATATAGAGCCCTCTAGATTTGGAAGGGTGTTGAGGACATTTTTCTTCTTCTTTGTTCCTGATTTGATGACTAACTGACTGATTGATTGACTAAATGTATGTCCAGTCTTTCTGTCAGTAATGGCATTTAAGACAGCTAGCATAAATGACAGTTGAACAAAAACAGAAATAGAGTCAAAGAATGCAAACAGCTTCAACACATAATTCAAACTCAGCCATAAAAGGAAATAAGCACCCATCACTTAAAACTGCCTAAACATAAATGACAAAGTCTACATGTCTAAATGAAAATGTCTAAATGCCTTCTGCCAAAGAAGCAACAGAATGGGGTCCAGTCCAGCGTGCCCACTCACCCACCAGCGTAATAGAAAAGCTACATGGGAATCCTTTGGCTAGGTCCAGTTCTGTCAAACAAGGTACAAAGTTAAATCCAAGATTACATCTTAATGACAAAGCTGAATTTCATCGTCTGTTTCAAGTCATGTTCCCCTTTTCAGCTTTTTGACTGACCAGAACCACTTCTGTCTTGTTTGGATTGAACTACAGTTTGTTTGCCCTCCTCCAACTTTAGAACTGTGGCTTCATTCTTTGCCCAGTATTGACTTTATTACAGTACACAACCCACAGCTTGGATCATCTTCTATAAAATTATTTGGACTAATTTCAGCCTTTTTTTTTTGCTTCCTCTGTGTTTCACTGCCATTCTTTTAATATTTCCAGCGTTTCCCTGTGAGTTTTCAAGCCTAGGGTGAATTTTCACTGTAGAATTAATTTGATGCCACTTTAACAGCCATGACTCAATGCTATATAATCCCGGGATTTGTAGTTTGGCTTGGCACCAACATTCTTTGTCAGAGGAGACTGAAGACTTCGTAAAACTGCAACTTCCATGATTCCACAGCTTTGAGCCAGGGCAGCCAAAGTGGTATCAAACTGCATTAATTATTTCTGCAAATATTTACCATCCTAAAGATTGCAGAGAGAGAGAGAAATGGAGAAAATAATAACTGTAGTACATGCCATAGAGAGTTCGTTGGAACGAGAGACCCTTTTTTCTTAGTCCCACACTCAGCTCCTCCTTGGATAACAAGGTACCTAAGCACTGAATGAATCATTATGTGAATTTCAAGAAATATTTATAACAGCAACATTTCTGAATGGGTATGCTTGTATACAGCTATGAGTAAGAATTAATTAGGAGTATGTGTCAATATTGATAGTTTCAAGAAAAAACTGATAAGGGTTCAGAAATATAAATTTCACTGATGGCAGTCGCAGAATCCCCAAATAACTATGCTGGGTGTGAGATTCTGGGATTGCAGTCCATTTTCCAAACTCTGTTTGATGGCATCTTGTGTGCATTTTCATTCACTCAACCGAGAGTTGCTGCTTCTTTCGGTTACCAATCACCGAAGCATCAAAAGTTCCCAGTGTAGTTGGAAAGAGCCGCAGAAGGAAGGAATGCCAGGCCTACTGCAATTAACAAGCTCACATGCGGCTCTCATTTGGTAAAGTAAACAGGGTTTGATTGAGGGACCGTAATCAAGTCCTCTCCTTTCAGGAATGAAAAGAGTCCTTATAGCCCTCATCCTATGGTTGCAAGAGCCAGCAGCCCACCCACTCGGGGCTCCCCCCCTCCCTAGCAAGAGCACCCCTTCCCCACCAACGCAGAGGAGGATGGGCTTCTGTGATTCCTACGAAGCAAACTACCTCTGCCCTCCTGCTGAGCTGGGAAAGGCAGTGAACCAGGGGAAGGAACAGTTGTACAGTATATTCTTCCCTTTTCAGTCAGGAGGAATCTGGACTTAATTATTTAAAAGACAAAAATGGGATGCAGGGGGGGAGGGAAGACAAAAAAAATCTTCTTTAAAAATAGGACTTTAAAAAAAGTTGGTGTGTACCAGACCAGCTGGGTTCCACTGGGGTTCAGGGCTGGGAAAGATTTGACAGGCGTGCCTCAATTGAGCGCCAAGGGCACTGTGAAAGTAGCTAGCCAGAATTCAGAAGGGATAGAGTTGTGTGTGATTTACAACATTGCCTTTGTTCATCTCACAGTGTAAGTCACACACAGCTTTCTCTCACTTCAGTTAAGACACACAAATGTAGAAAGCACTTCCCAACATGAAATGCATTTTTGCTCTTTATGCTCACCCTCTACCCCAGCCTTTTATACCGCAAGGAAACTGTCCATGGAGCATAATTTGTAATCTGTAAATTCAGTCTGTCAACTCTTACAAACAACAGTTACTCTGGTGTAATTGCAAATTCTCCCAGTAAACTGTGCTGTGTCAAAATGCATGAACTTTACAGACTCATACACAAATTTTGCAGTTTGGTATGCCAGTGGGCTTGCCATTATATGATGTGATAATATTGATATGATATGAAATGTTATGATATAGGCCAGTGAAATAATGACAATTATATTCTTCCACTGTTCCAGGGGCCAGTACGATATTTGTGTCCAATGTCCATCTGTTTCTTTCATTCCTGGAACCGCATTGCAGACCTGTTGTCAATGGCTTACAGACTGGCACTGGTTTATTGACCACCACTTTGAGTACTACAGATATGGGTCATATTATACACAGCATCAACAGCCAACAAGGTATAGTGGTTTGAATAGAATAGATTAACTATTGTCATTCCACCTCATACAACAACATTAAATGCCATGCCCAATCACATTAAATATTGAGTGATGGACTACAACACTGGGGGATCAGGGTTCAAATCCCCACTTGGCCTTAAATGTAATTGGATAGCATTGGTCAAATCGCATTCTCTCAACCTCAGAGGAAGGCATGTGAAAACCTAGATAGTCTCAGGGCTTGGAAATGTGATTAGTCTGAATCCTATTTATAGACTGACCAATTAAATCCTATTTTAAGCTGACCAATCAAAGGAATGGGATTTGCATAAGTTTTGACTTACCATTCATTAAGACTCTCCTAACTACCAATCTGATTCAGATCACTGTTTTAGACTTTAGTTTTCACAGCCCCAACCAACTTCTCTACATACCATTTCCTTCTACCTAGGCAGCAGATAGAACTTTGTTCTACCTAACCTTTGAATCAACCAGGGCTGACCCTACCGTTAAACAGAGTGAGAAGCCATTTCAGGTAGTAGATTGGGGTTATCATGAAACAGCAACCAAATGTTAACAGTTTAATTGATTGGTGCTTTCTCATGGCCAGAGAGGAGGAATGATGCATAAGAATTTCCTGCCTCCTTTGCCAAAATATGTTGGCTGGCTTTGGGTACTATACGATATTGTAAACCCTGATGGGAATTTTGGAATGAAAAATGGTTTAGCGAATAACTAGACATCTTAACATGAATAGGTGGGTGAGTAACATTTGCTGTTCTGCCTCAGGTAGCAAAATGTTTTGCTCTGACACTGCATGCCTCCCATGGCATTCAACCATACTATTTGAAGGCAGATTATCACAGTAAAATCCTTCCCTCTGTCCCCTTATCACCCTAGTGTTCATGTTCAGACAGAAGAAACTGGTACTTTCCAGTCCTTTCCACAGCACATTCTAAATGTAAAGGTTTCCCCTGACATTAAGCTCTAGTCGTGTCCAACTCTGGGGGCGGGGGGATGTGCTTATCTCCATTTCTAAGCCAAAGAGATGTTGTTGTCCATAGACACAGCCAAAGGTCATGCTGTCAGCATGACTGTATGGAGCGCAGTTACCTTCCCGTGGAAGCAGTACCTATTGATCTACTCACATTTGCATGTTTGCGAACTGCTAGTTTGGCAAAAGCTGGGTCTAACAGCGGGAGCTCACCCCACTCCCTGGATTCGAACCACCAACCTTTCGGTCAGCAAGTTCAGCAGCTCAGCAGTTTAACCCACTGCTCCAGCAGGGGGTGCATACTATAAGATTAAAAATTCAGACATAGGTCATTAAAGTTCCGACTTCTTGCTTCTCTACCTTATCAGGAATATGACAGCAAAAGGCATACACAGAAGATCACCTTTCGTTTTCTTTCTATTCTACAGTGAATACATGTGGATGAAACTCTAAGCAATGTTAAAATTAATCAAACATTGTAGATCCATCCAAGCAGCCACATCTCCTAGGTATTTAACACACATGCCCCCTCCCCCAAAACACACACAATCTTGGTACTAAAAGAAAAGAAAAGATCCCTAGTACCTGATATTTAGTATATGCATTGCAGGTTGAGCATCCCTTATCTAGAATTCCAAACTCCAAAATCATCCACAGGCTGAGATAGTGGCAGCTTTGCTTTCTGATAGTTCATGCTTACAATTATTTAAAATATTGTATACCTTTGCCTTGAGGCTATGTCTGTATATAAAGCATAAATGAATGTTGTGTTTAGAC